GAGGTGAGTATGCTACTCTACCATGTGTCTGACTCCTGTATTTTACTCTCTCTTCTATCTTTCCTCTCTTCTGTGATCTTACTATGCTCTTTATATATTATTGGCATACAATTGTGCCTATGGACACCTCCCCCTCACCCCCCCACCCACCTGCCGCTCCCCTCCCCCATGTTGTCAGGGGCTGGTTGCCCTGACACCTTCTCATGAGTGCCCTGGGAACCTCCCTCCTCTCCACTTCACATTCCTGTTGCCGAGCCACGCTGAGACCTGTCAGAACTGTGGTGCTTCCACCGCCATTGGATCCATAACACTTTTCACCCACCGGCCTGTGATTTTCCTGCATTTTGCATCGTTGCAAATGGTGCAATGACTGTGTGGTCCTGAAGAGGGAATTATGGACTAGTTTTGGACTCATAAGACTTGTGTGGACTGGGCTGGGATGTTTTCCTGGCAAGTTTCTTTGATATAGAGCTCTTTCTTTTATAGGAATGCAGGAGTGTCCCTGGATTGGTTTCTCTCGCCAGCCTGGCCTGACACAGCCGCGAATGTCAGGCAGGCTCTACTCAAGGCTGGACTCTCGCTCTGGTGGCCTCCTGCTAACCTTCTCCGGCTCTGTCTCGCCCAAGAGTAACTCATGGTCTGTTCGCAGTTGGCCCCTGGCTTTGTTTCGGCTGATGATGTTGACCTTCCTCGTTGCCTCTGTTCACAGATGGAGTGGATTGACCTTGCCTTTCACCTGGAGGGGCCTCATGGGAACTCACCACGTGTGTTGTTGAGAAAAATCACAAAGTACCGGTTGTTGGTCGTGTGTAAGTCTATCACATGATCTCCACTCTCCAGCCTAGTTTCTCTCCCCAATGCCACGTTTGGGAGCCCTGTATGGTGCTCTATGGGTTATGTGTTAGGCTGCAATTCACAAGGTCAGCTGTTCAAAACCACCAGCCGCTCCTCGGAAAAAAGGGTTGTCTACTCCTGTGAAGAGTCACTGCCTCTGAACCCACAGGGGAAGTTCTACCCTGTCCTATAAGGTCCGTGTGGGTCGGCATCCACTCGATGGCAGCGAGATTGGAGGACGTTTCCCGGGTAGGGCTCCTTCTCCTTTTTCTCTCATTTTCACATTCCCGTCTCCAGGAATTATCCAGGC